ATATCTGCCCCTTTTTCTCAACTATGGATCAAAACAACAAAAAAATAAAAATAAAAAAATTAAATTGATTTGTCTTATGTGACAAAAAAAGAAAACAAAGGAAAAACAAGAAACAAGGTCAATCATCAATCTCAACTGAACGATACTATACTCTAACTTTATACTATTTCATACTTCTTCAAAAAAACAATCTTTAACATTCTTTTAAACATGTGTAATGATTTAACATTTTTAACATCGTTTTGTAGGTCGTTCCACAGTTTGACTCCTTGTATCGAAGTACATCGTTCTTTCAAACAAGTTCTGAATGTAGATAAGATAAGATAAGATAAGATAAGGTAAGATAAGATAAGATAAGATAAGATAAGATAAGGTAAGATAAGATAAGATAAGATAAGATAAGATAAGATAAGATAAGATAAGATAAGAGCTTTATTGATCTCACAGTGGAGAAATCCACTGGTCACACATCGGTTAGAGCAATGTTTTTCAACCCCTGGTCCTCGGTACACTAGTGAGCCGTAGAAAATCATCCTATTTCACCTAATTGGTCTAAAAAGATTTTTTGATAAGGAATTAATTATCTGCAAATGATATTCCATTTTTGAGTGTCTGTGCTGTTCTAGTGACTGGTGGCGTAATCATGTAATAATTCCTTATGACTAGATTTTGTATTTAATTTTGTATATTGAAGTGGACATGTTAAGAGCAATTTGAGAAGAAGAAATATAAAATATGATAAAAATACATTTTTGTGTTTATTTGATTCCTATTCAAGACACTTAAGATAAGATAAGAATAAAATAAGAATAACTACAGTGTTACTATAGGCGGCTACAGATTTGTTTAACATTTTTGGTTGGTGGTGTGCCTCGTGATTTTTTCTGTGAAAAAATGTAGCTTGGCTCAAAAAAGGTTGAAAAACACTGGGTTAGAGTTCAAAAGGAGGAAAAGGTGCATAAAGTACAGCAAAAACAAACAAATATATAAGGAAGAGACACTTTTGAGTGATATACTAAAATATATACAATCATTGATGGCTCACACACAGTACACATATTACACAGGTCAATAAATAAATATAACACAATTGCACAGCAGTTGTTAAAGTAGTTTTTATAGTAGTATATTAGCATAGTCTGCTAGCAGCAGGGATGAAAGGCCTACGGTATCGCTCTTTTTTATACGCGCCTCTTTCGTTTCTCCAAAAAAAAACATTTCACGCACCACCTGTCCACTTTTGCCCCGGGACCTAGAGGCAGAAGAGATGGAAACCTGAGAAAAAAACAGGATTTTCCCCTCTTTTTTTTGTTGGAAAAGCTACACTTTGAGCGGACATTTTGACGAACAGATCCGTATTTCTGTTTTATGGAGCACAGCTTTCTGTTAGCCCGATTCTTTAGCTGGAGTAGATCTTTAGCTGAGGATAAACCAGAGTAGATCAAGAAATCAAGTATGTGTTAGCATACGAAGCTAAAGGGAGGAACTAAAGCCCAGTTTTAACCGTAGCTAATGACAAATATACATTGTTAGCCCGATTCGTTTGAGCAAAGATTTCCACAGATTTCTGTATTAATTGTTAGCCCGATTCTTTAGCTGGAAGCCTGAGGATAAACCAGAGTAGATCAAGAGGACAATTATGTGTTAGCATACAAAGCTAAAGGGAGGAACTAAAGCCCAGTTCTAACCGTAGCTAATGACAAATATACACGGTTTGAGCAAAGATTTCCACAGATTTCTGTATTTATTGTTAGCCCTATTCTTTAGCTGGAAGCCTGAGGATAAACCAGAGTAGATCAACTCTGATGGAGGGATGGATCCTCCCCAGAAGGAAGCAAAACATCCAGAGAAAAGTCCTAAAATAAAAATAAAATAAAATAAAAAATAAGCGTTAGCCTGATTCTTTAGCTGGAGTAGATCTTTAGCTGAGAATAAACCAGAGTAGATCAAGAGGACAATTATGTGTTAGCATACAAAGCTAAAGGGAGCCCAGTTCTAACCGTAGCTAATGACAAATATACACGGTTTGAGCAAAGATTTTCACAGATTTCTGTATTCATTGTTAGCCTTATTCTTTAGCTGGAAGCCTGAGGATAAACCAGAGTAGATCAACTCTGATGGAGGGATGGATCCTCCCCAGAAGGAAGCAAAACATCCAGAGAAAAGTCCTAAAATAAAAATAAAATAAAATAAAAAATAAGCGTTAGCCTGATTCTTTAGCTGGAGTAGATCTTTAGCTGAGAATAAACCAGAGTAGATCAAGAGGACAATTATGTGTTAGCATACAAAGCTAAAGGGAGGAACTAAAGCCCTGTTGTAACCATAGCTAATGACAAATATACACGGTTTGAGCAAAGATTTCCACAGATTTCTGTATTTATTGTTAGCCCTATTCTTTAGCTGGAAGCCTGAGAACAAACCAGAGTAGATCAAGAGGACAATTATGACGTTTATTGGTCACAATAAAGTAAATCTGGGCTCTAACAGACAAAGTTCCTGGAGGATCTCAGTCAGCAAAGACTTTGCAAACCTGTGATGAGTTTAAACATTCTGCAGAGGCTGTGTTTTTATTTTATTTTATTTCAAACATGCATAAAAAGCCCCCAAAACTGGGTGTGATGGACAGTTATCTTCTGGGTTCTGCCCCTTAGAAAAGGAGGACTATCGGCATGTTAGCTCTGACATGAACAGGCCAGGTCCTAATTCATGCAGATTTCACTGGAATGTGGTAATAAAGTGTGTGCGTTGACCTTAAAGACGAATACCTACTGTAACAGAGAGGAGGAGAATCTGTGGGAAGAGTTTATAGTTTCTAAAAGGGAGAAGACAATCGGCCATTTACAGGGATTATGTGTTAGCATACAAAGCTAACGTGAGTCACTGTAGCACAGTTCTAACACTACAGTTCCTTGTAGAACTTATTTTGATGGTGTCAGCTTTTAAGGGAACCATTTTAAATACAGCAGAACCTCTACTAAACATACGCATTTTCCAACATCCAAAGTGAAATTTGATCAAATATTCGACTCGACACCCAAAGTAAATTTCCAACATACGGCGTTGAAGTCGTAGAATAAAAACTATATAAAGATTAAATAAAGATAAATAAGCTAAGTTAGTTTAAAGTCCATGTAGTGAAAGTCAGAGTAAGTTATGGTTCGTCCTGTCTCTCAGTCTCTACCTGCCAATAAAAACCCTTTTTATTGATTATTTCTCTA